CTTTCCTTCTACTTATTTTTTGACGATATCCGCGTTGCGCGTGTCTGCATTCGGGTTCGTGGCCCCTATCAGGTTTTTACTTGCCTACTGTACATACAGATCGATGTACAGACCATGATGTGCCCTAAACCCTATAAACCTAAAAAGCACGCCCGAAGCCCTTAAAGCAAAACTGCACTGAAAGCACAAGCCCTAGAAGAAAAAGGTGCCAGTTGATCAAATCGCATTAGCAGTTCACATGGTTGTGATTTATCGGTTAACTAGCTCGTTCATGTACTGCTGCTCAACCTAAACCCTAGACCCGAGAGTCCTAGATCCTAAACCCTAAACCCTAAACCCTAAACCCGCTGATCTTCGAGTACATGATTCTGGTGCTCTTGGTCTGAGTACATGATTCTGGTGCTCTTGGTCTGAGGGGTAATCTTAAGGTCTTTATCCTAGCCCGCCCAATATGGACTTGTCGCGAAGCTTGCTGCTGACACGAAAAGGGGCCCTAAACAAAAAAAACTAAACCCAACACTAAGAGTCCGCAGTTGGACTCAGGTGAGGTCCCTCATTGGTCCTCGGGGCACGGTGGTGGCGGCCTGGCAACACGAGGACATCCCCAGCCTGGTCAAGGCAGCACTGGGACCCGATAGACCCTAAACCCTGAACCAACCCTAAACCCTTGATCCTGAACCCATATATACCCCAAACCCTAAACCCTAAACCCTGAACCCTAAACCCTAAATCCTGAACCCTATACCCTGAACCCTAAACCCTGAACTCTATACCCTAAACCCTGAACCAACCCTGAACCCTAGATCCTGAACCCTATACCAAACCCTGTAAACCCGGAACCCTAAATCCTACACCAGCACTGGGACCCGATAAACCCTAAACCCTGAACCCTAAACCCTACCTTAACCTACCATAACCCACTCTTTTGTAGGCTCTTACTATAAACCCTAATATGGGATTTATAGGGACCCTACAAAAAAAGTAGGTTCTGGTAGGTTAAGGTATACCCTGAACCCTAAACCCTGTAAACCCTGAACCGTAAACCCTGAACCCTATACCTTAAACCCTAAACCCTATAAACCCTGAGCCCTAAACCCTAAACCCTGAACCCTATACCCTGTACCCTATAAAGCCTGAGCCTAAAACCCTAAATCCTGAACCTGAAACTCCCGTCTTAGGGTTTAGGAACCTTGAAGTCTGAATCCCTTAAAGATTAAAGGGACACTTAAGGGAGGGGGCCCCAAACCCTCAACCCTCCTAATATAGGGGCCGTAATAATTGGAATAGGGTCTTGGGGCCCAGTATACTATAATTTTAATAAGGAACCCCCAAAATAGTATTAATAAGTTTTTAGGTCCCCACATTAACCCTATTTTCATAAGGAACCCCCAAAAGTAGCATTGGAAAGTATGTAGGCTTCTACATTGGGGTCTCTTGAAGGTTCTCTTTCAGGGTCTCTTAAAGGGTCCCTTGCAAGATCCTTCAAGTCATCTTTCAGGATCCCTCTAAGGCGTCTGTTAAGGTTTCCTTTCGGGACTCCTTTCCCAGAGGGTCCCTCTACACTACCATTATAATTATGGAATTAGGTCCCAAAAGACCATCCGTGTTATGGTTTTGGGGACTTAATTCCATAATAGTAGCATCTATGGACCCTCTTGGTTTCAAGGTTCCATAAGTTGTGGCTGTGCTGGTTTCAGGCTCTTTCCGCGGGAAATGTGTACCTCCTGCTTGCGATGACACCTGCCTTGAAGCCAAAACCTTCAAAGACCATCGTACCTATAGTCTCCATTGTAGTTCCTTTTTTTGGTTTGACCAACTCTATATTAAGGATCCTAT